ATGAAAGTGCACATGAGCAATGCAGGTTAGCTTCGTATTACTTCAGGGAGAGGCACCCCTAGTTTCCCCACCCCTTCCAGATGGCGCCCTCTGGTGTAGTGGTTAGGAGTAGCTGTGATCCACAAGGTCAGCAGTTTGAAACCACCAGCAGCTCCTGGGGAGAAAGGTGGGGCTTTCTACCCCAGGAAGTAGTTACAGTCTCCTAAGTTCACGGGGCAGTGCTACCCTGTCCCATGGGGTTGCTGTGCGTCGGCCTTGATGCAATGGCAGTGAGTCATCTGGCCAGAGGACATCAGCAGCCTGCGGACTTCAGCAGCTAGACCAGGCCAAGGTGACCACTGAGAGTGAGATTACTTCACCACAGGGTCTCAAGCAACGAACTCTTAGGCTAACCCAAAAATCAAAACAAAACAAGACAAAAACACCCACAAAAAGTTCAAAACTCACTGCCAGTGATTCAGTTTTGCCTCATAGAGACCCTAAGGGACAGTAGTGGTGACCTTGTTTCTGCCAAGGGTCATTGGGTCAGTCATGGGCCATACAAAATCACCAACTTCACAATTAGTCTGCTATATTAGCTCAAGCATTTAATTAGCCCCCAATGTGGTAGCTTCTCTTTGGTGAGGCTTGTGATGTTGCTGGTATTGACTTACACAACCTTAGATACAGTTCAAGGGTGCGAAGTTCTTCACCCCTGCTACAGGACAAGGTAGAACTGCCTCTGTGGGTTTCTGAGGCTAACTCTTCACTTACAGGAGTGGAAAGCATCACTTTTCTTCTGCAGAGAAGCTACTGGCTTTGAACTGCTGACCTTGAGGTTAGTAGCCCAACATATAACCACTATTTCACAAGATTAGGCATCTAAAAATGCTGTCTCAGTTATCAGATGTGTCCTTGATTTCTAGAAAACACTTGAGCCCTAAGGTAATACCTAAGGTAGTCCCTGATTTATTATGTATTCAAGTTATGACAAACCATACTTAAGATTTTGGCAGGATACATTTTATTGCTAATGAGACTACGTACCACATGCAAAATGGTATCACGTAAGTTGGTGATGTTTTCTTTCTCAGATGTTTACTCAAAGGTGCTTATAGGGACTGTTTCCAATCTCCAAAGACAAATAAAGACCAGACTGATAAAGATATTGATAATGAAAGGTAATAATAATGATAGCAAACAAA